TCGGTGCATATTCTGATACGATAAACAAACACGTTTTAGTGTTGCTTCCCTTCCGGACGCTGATTGAACCCTGGAGACGCTCTGCACATCAACGACTGTTGACGGGGATCCAGTTGATTAGAAAGGACTCAGCCCTATTACTGAGTACAATACCTACCCCGCGCTGACATACCGAACGAGCTTTACCGTCGCCTGATGTGCGAAGAATGTATCTCGTCGACAAATCTGGCGCGCTCAAGTGGCTTAGAGTAGTAGGATTCTGGATCCGAGTTTCCGACACGCAGCGATTCCTGAGGATTCCATTGTACGAGCCAAACAAGCTTGTTGACCTATCTGCATCAAAGTCCTCACGTTGAAGGCCCCCAGATTCAGTGATTGACGGGGATTTAGAATCTGCAATCCATTCCATGGTAAATCATTTACAGTGCTATTTGGCAATGACCTTTGGCGAGCGACATTGCTTAAGGGACTATTAAAGGTCGGTAGAAGGGGTAAGGGGAGAGGGTTGGGAACGGAAGACAAAGAGTCAAACAAAGGTTGGGATATCTGTACCAGGATATCTATGTACCAGGCTTCAGTTTGGAAGTGCGTAAAATGTCCCACTCATAAAATGTTTTATATTTTACCTAATATGTAACAATAACATTCCAGGGATGCAAACTCTCTAGGAGATAGCAGTAGAAAATTTGGTTGTGAATTACACCAAAAAGGTGTGAATCCCACGATGATAAATGTCTACGGTTCATCAGTTGGAACCGACAACCTTGGCCCCGGGATCCTCTGACCACGAGTCTCATCGAACCCTGATAGAGTAGGCATATGTATTAAACTGATTGGTAATGAAAAAAACAATCAGAATATAGAGAAACTAAATCACATCATGTATACTGATAGATAGCAACGAGTTACAAAGGCTTTGCTCATCAGAACGATGAATGAACTTGTAATTTCGGTGATTGCGCTGTGCGACAATTTGCAGTCATCTTGATCATTGATTGAAGTTCGAAATTATTCATCGAGGAATGTTTTACTGGATTGGTTAGCTTATATGCCAGTTAGCCAGTAACAGAGGTCTGGATTGAGTGTGTGGTTAGGGGCCGTAGTTCCGGAGTCGTCGATGGTTGGCGGTGGCCAAAACTGGCTAGGAGAGAATAGGTTCTAATCGCATTCGGGATCTACGCTTTTGTGAAACTACAAGAAGCCGTCCTCAGCCGATGCTCGACATCTTCTGAGGATAATGCAACACCAGATCGACCGAAACATGCCATTTTGGACCGTCACAAGTCACGAATGGCAAAATTCGTAAGGTTTGCGAAAGCGATTGCTATCAACCTATGGAAGCCCCCCCCCTGTGTCAACAAAACGAGCTTTATATTAGCTTGTCCTTACCCTGGTGACATGATCCTCTGCTTACCTCTCCCCCTTCTATGTTGGTCTGTTTAAATGTATTGTACTTCACTTTTTTTATCATGCTTTAACCCTGTATGAACATTGTTTTTGCTGTGGCTCTCACCATGTTGAGACGCAGCGAAAACGTTCTGGACATAGATCGTGCAGTATTACGAATTGGTCTTTTCTTTGGGGAGAGAAGTAAAGAAGCAATTCTGCATTGAACTCAATGAGGGAAAATCATTCTGTTATCAACTTTATATGTTCTTTTGTTCTTTATTCCATTAAGCTTACCTAACGCAATAGGAAGAGTAAATTTGAGAAACCGGAGGATGTACTTCATGCATACAGAGGGAGGTGGTGGGGAGATTCCTGCTAAGACTTTCTTGGTCAATCTGTGTTGAAAGCGTATTACCATTACTATTATTATTATTATCGTCATCATTATCAGTCACAGGATGATGACAACAAAGTTGCATGCATCTGTGAAAAAAAGTGGAGAAAAAAATCTTTTCACAAATTCGGTAATTATAGAACATTCGTAATCTATGACCATATTTTTCTTGTGTGTGGGACCTGAATGGGATGAACGAATACAAATGGAGCGGGATAGATAATTTCGGCGAATCGAAAGCGACATTAGTAATAATGATAGTAGTACTATCATTATTATTATTATTGGTGGTGGTGGTAAATGTAGTGGGGATAGTAACAGCAGATCGGGTGCTGCTTATGCCGTTGTTGGTGGAACAGAAAGAACAGTATAGGTTGCAGTACCACTCATTCTAAGTGGTCATCAACAATGGCTTGTACAAATATTAAAACTGAGTGTATTCGCTCTACCAGAGGGAGAAAAAGAATGTCTGATGTATTTTATGGATTACCATCATTTACGTATAAATAACCAGCTATTGTCTTGTTCACTCGAACAGAAAACATGAGAAAACATGCCGTTTTGGAGACCAGTTCCATGGAAAAGTTACATTTGTCGTATGTTTCTAACGCAAATAAGCGAGAACTACATCCTGCTGGACGTGAAGTTAGGCTATTGTAGAATTAACAGCCAGGTGGGGAACAAGCTAATTGCGCAGTTTTAGTCACCCAATGAGTTAAAACAGACGAGGCTGAAGGCAAGAATGAGAATAGCAAGAAAATGAGTGGATCAAAAAGACCCATCAAACGAAACACGGCAATCTCCCTCAACCATTTTGAATGGAAACTTCCGAGATCTCCCTCCTAGATCGTTCTTATTGTTTCAGCTTTTCTTCGATATTCCCTAATCTCAAATGGATTTACCTCACACGGTTTATTTTTGTAATGTGGTTAATTGCTGTTACCAGATTAAGTGATGGACGTTTTCGCGGTATCTCGTTCGTCGCTCGCATTTTTGTTATTTCCCATTGAACCGCTATTTTGCAATGTTCTGCGTTTTCGTTAAATCACAGCCTGCTGAGAATTCGCTCCTCGGCTGACAAATGTCCACCTAGACTTGATCCTATGTATGCACTTGGCACAATGCCATCTCCAAGTCTAACTGCCTCAGTTTACTTTATTACTTTTCCGTCGCGTTTCGTGATCTTTACTGAAATAAGACAACCCCCTTTTTATGCCGCAAATTGTCAATCAACAATAATGATGATTGACTACCGGATTTCCAAACTCATTGATCAACTAATGACCTTTTTCATCGCACATAAGTACTTTGCGCTGTACCCAGTACCGGTCTGCCATGGGTCGCGTTCTGGTTTGTCAAACTGGTATACGCCTCTTACCAAACGTAAAAACCGATAAACTCTTCTATCTGGCCTGTAATCTGTTTGCGTTTAGGAAGTTACGGGGCAAAAACCAGACAATAATAAATGTTATGAGAGAAATGGAGAATTTAGTGTGTTTATGTTGGTCAAGTTCGTTGTGTAACTAGCAAGTGAAACGTGGACTGAAAAGCTAGGCAGCACTGGATACCTGTTTCTTATTGGTTGGATCTCATCAACACAGTGCGGGCGAATCTGTTGACCCGAATGGGGAAGATGCCTGCAATAAGCTTGGAAAAACTGATTGTGCTATATCATAATTAAGGAAAACGGCCCGATCATCTGTCTGGTGTTCGAGTGGGTAGTATGCATGCGTCCTACCTGTGAGGTCTGAGGTTAGATTCCAATTGGTATTGCTGGATTCGCGCAATGTTGATGAGACACAACCAGGTAGAGACAGCTGTCAATTTCTTCCCAGTTTTTTAGCTCACGTTTCATTTACTCTTCATACAACGAAATTTACCAATATTAATGAAAAATGTGATAAATTTCATTATATACGGAAAGAAGAGACATTAGTTGCACCCCTAGAAGATGCCATACACTTTTTTTCGATCTTGTTAGTTCTCACTAGCTTTGAAAACTTATCAATCAAACAAGCAGAACGTGAACACAATACTTTCTTGATTAACGAGCAGTCGGATGAACGAGTTTGAACCGCTGAAAAGATCCAACAAAGCTTAAGCCGAACTGTGGTGCATCTCAGCCTTCAAATCCAAGTTTCCATTGTTCATATGAACAAAACTCCTCTGTTTAACATTTAATACTCGAGCGATTTTTGCGGTTCTACTCTTGTTCTGCGTGAATATCGAATCGGTCCAGTAGGAATTTCATTCCCACGAGGCAGTGCTACAGTCACCGTGTATTTTTCTATTGAAACGTGATCAGATATATGCGCACAAGTTAGCACACTGCCACAAACTTATCCAGGCCGTATGACATGCATTCTCTTGTGTGAATTTTTATTCGACAGACGGGATTGTGGAACCCACCTATTCGGTCATCATACAAGAAGTGACCGGACCGCTCTACTTCAATTCGCGTCTCGAACTGGAATGTGCACCGAGCCCACCGAATCCCGCGGCACGTATCAACTGGCTCGGTCCGGATGGTGTTGTGGTCTCGGACTCGAGCAATCTCGTATTCGACAAATTCCAGTATCACAATCAAGGTCGTTACACATGTCAAATTCTCCTACCCAATCAGGTTATTCTACGGCAGGTACGTGATTCTTTCTCCTCACCTCTACATCACCGTCTACAATAAGACCCAAGGGCTAGATCGTTGGGTGGACTACTTGAAATAGTTATTCAGCTGGCCTCCCGCTAGCACAGTCACTCCCGTAGGTCTTCCATTTAAAATGCCTTGAATCCAGAGTCACCGTTGAAAACGTCTAAGTACAATGCATTGTTATGTATGGACTGTAACACTTATGACGTGTGTAGAGTATGCCTGGCAGCCGTCTACAGCACTGTGTCCTGTTCGCAGTAGCTGTACCATGTGGGAAGAATTCCCGAGAATCTCAACTGATAATGAAGAAGAATAAGTTTANGGGGGGGGGGCAGGTCGCAGATGTATGAAGGTTGCCTACGAAAATAGAGAAATGAGGAAGATGGGTGGTTATGGGTTCGAACCCATGATTTGCGGGTCATGATTTTGATGATCACAACCACTTAACAACCACCATCATTACCACCACCACCGGAGTGGGAGACTTAGGAATTGCACGGAGAGATTGGGTAGGGCAGAGGAACTCTCATGTTCAGGACAACGGTCCGAAAAGCCAGCGGTCGTTTGGATGCATTGGAGAATATTGCACCCAACTACAGACAGCATTAATACCCGTGTTTCAATTTCTCATCAGGTCAAAATGTTTAGAGTGATGTGTATGCCCGGTTTGATTTTGCACCCAGATCATGTGGGTTCACTTTAGCTTTCCCACAGTTCAACTGGCTACCGTCCGTATTCACCTTAAACACTCGTCTTCACTTTGCACACATTATGACCTGGGAGTTAGTTGATCAGTGAGGTTCAATTCACCGTATTTCGATGCACGCTGATGACAGTGGCGCTATCCTGGATTGTTTCATTGCATGGTGATCCATGCAAACATCCAATTCTCGTCCACTCCTGACTAGATACACAGAAGTTCACAAACCACATTACAGTGAACACTAAATTTAAGCCCACTACAAAGTGACTTCAATTTTCTCACTGCCGCACAAACGCCATAATGTGTAAAAGCAATCAAAACCACTAAACTTCACTTCAGTCCATGCACAACATTCTTAAATTGTTATGACAAGGTTGTGAACCATCTTGCGCGCATGATCGATCCGTGAAGTGCACACACACATTCGACCGCCTAGTTGTTCCATACGGCCAATTGTTTCTTTCTTTTTGTCATAACCACGCCCTGACGCAAACTCTACACAAAACTGAGTGCAACCATTGTGATTTTTAATAACACAACGGTTTACCTTAAGTCACGTGACTGTCAACATTAAATCCGACGGACGCCGGATTGTGTGGTATGTCCGGGTTTTCAGAACACTTGGTTCCGATTGAACAACTTACCGAGGATAGAAAATGGTCTTAGCTGTAATGTTGTTTGCTCTTCGTACACGGTTGGCCGATTACATCCAGGAAACTTTGATTGGAGCGCTCTCCTCTGGTACCGATTTCCCAATGGTCTTTGTTCTGACAGGGCAGTCAGTCGAATCCAGCTCATGAGCGACATGCTATAGGCATGGGACATGCGGCCCATTTAACGTGTGAAGCACAAAAAACAGGCAGCGAAAAATGCAACCTGCTGTTTGCACCACCACCACTACCACCACCACGTGTTGATTGCAGAGGCTAAAAATCGTTGCCACCATTTCCAAAATGAGATTATCCTAGTATCAGATTTGATTGGCATCAATGTCAACCTTAAACTGCAAGTTACAAACCATCACGTCGGTTCCAATTCACCATATATGCAAGGGTGCACTATCTGATTCGACCTACTAAATCGCATTTCTTCAGGGCAATGACCCATCAGAAGGGTCTACTTATTCACACTGAGCTGTCCAGAGTAATCGTCTTTGACTAATAGACCTAAAAGGATTTTATCTATCTATTTTATCTATTGTTCATATCATAAACGTAATCCATTTGTTTCCCGATTGTTAACAAAGAAACAGATTTAGGGAAAACGTTGAGTTCAATCAGTCTGGTCCAGTGGGGCACTCTTATATCTTCTGTCATTTCGATTTGGCACCCTAAGTCTGTGACATGGGAAGTGGGATGTTGCGTGAATGTGTGTGGGGGGTGAAATACATCAGACTTCTGTTCCACTTCGATAAAAATAAATCGCATCTTATTTTCTATAGTATCCCAAGTGAGGAAGACTTAACTTGCAGAAAGGTTGAACTCTTAGATGACACCACACACACACACGAGAAGCACTAAAGAAAAACGGTTCTCCATAACCACTTATATTCCAGCCTACACAGAGACTAAAGAGGATAGAATGACCCTGCTAACAGCTAAGAAGGACGCCTTTATGGTAGTTCCTTTATGGGTACACGCAATTTCGGCAAAGCATGTAACAAAGACCATTGGGTAAAAGTTTTCCTACTACACACAGTTCAGGATCACATGAAACCGTCTAATATTCAACATTCTACTGCATTAGTTAGAATCTCTTGTCCCAGATCAGTTCACTGGGTTTCGGTACACCATAATTCGTCTAATGTGTAAGTGTTTTTGTTGTATCTCAGATAGTCTCTTCTGACTGGAGTTAATAAGGGATAAATAACTTTGATCTTGGCGGCGAGTACTTTGCACTAAGCGATCCGTGATTTGTTTTCTGACAATGTCTCGTTTTTTGTTTGAAATCTGTGGATTAAAAAGGTATAGACATGTTAGAAAATTCACCTATTGTGGTCATTAAAATGAAACGTGGGTTTGGTTGATCTGTCGGAGACATCTTTTTCCTCCTCACTATACTCTCAAACATAATATATCTCTTCCCCCTCCCCACTGCCCACTCCTACCTGTGCCCATTACGGGTTTAAACTACCCACCTCATGGCTTCGCACTGTTTTATCGGCTCGGACCGCACACTGTGCCACACTCACTCACCCTCCTTCATCTCGCGTGCCTGGGGTTTGCTGGACTTGAACAGAGTGTGGAGTTGACTGCTGCCGGATCGGTAACCGATGCGCCCGGACCAAGTGGTCGATACACGATCGCCATCATCCAAACCCCGTTGACATTCCGCTATAGTGATGCAGTTCGGTTGCGCTGCGTAGTCCAACCGGATCCACCGCATGTCCAGTTCGAGTGGCAAAAAGATGGTCAGATTATCGGTCGAACGAGTGAACTGTACATACCCAGTTTCACTCCGTACGATGTGGGTCGTTATCAGTGTGTGGCTCGTATTGAAGGCTATACGGATATCTCGTCTAATACCACCGTACTACCTGGTCCGGATGAATGTAAGTATTCATTTTATTATTTTTCTGTTTCGGTTGCTTTGAACACGATTTTGGGCAGCTAAGCATGTTGGGTGGTGTACTACTACTACTTTGTCGGGTTTGGGGGTCGGTCTGATCGAAGTCAGCGTTAGTCGCCGGAAGGGTAGGTGTCAGTGGCTGTGGTAGATTTATGGTTTAAACTCTCATGTTTACTGGCCAGGACTTTTGCATTTGTGGAAACTTGGCTATTTCTTGTTTGGAAAATAATGCCAGACAGAGAGACAAAGGGAGGGATGGACAGTTATAAATGTGCAACCCAGACTGGATTTGCAAAACCAATACAAAAACTACTTTTTCCCGTTTATGTTGTTTTCACTAATTCAACAACAAGTGATCGCAAAGTTATGCCCCCCAAACACAATGCTCTGTTTCTCAACACGCACATCGAGAGTTTCAGGATCAAGAGAAAACGAGTCGATCACGGTTGATAGTTTGCCCGTCCCGCCGAAACTTTGAGTTAAATTCTGGACTAAACTGCTTGTTTAGTCAATCAATTCATCTAATTCATCTGGTCTTAGGAGCGGAAAGGGAATATTCTGGAAAAAACGACAGAACTACGTCCTTGTTAACACATCCCAGTGGTGGACCTTTTGTTCGTACAAAGCGACCCGACACTGAAATGATGAAACTCGGATTGGGAAATCAAATCATCGGTAAGGGAATAGAGTTGACGCAGGTGTCCTTCTAAGTAAGCTAACAAGCTTGGGGCTTGAGCAGTGAACGTTACCACCTTGTAAAACACTCAAAACACGTACCGGATAACACCTTCTGGTAACTCCCGAATCAGTAGTATTGATTTATTATTCTAAACACAGATTTTTCATAAACGCTATCGACAGCAATGTTAATGATTCGATTAATATTGTGTTTAACTGCTCACATCTTGTTGTTTTCTCTTTTTTCTGCTAAAATAGCCGGCCCGGTTGAACTTATTATGCGACCCGGTGTTATTTATCTACCGGCGTTTTCACCGCTACAAATTGAGTGCATTTCCCAACGACCGAATTTGCAACCGGTCGCCCGTTTTGCAAACGGAATGCCCGTGGAATCGGACAATCGGTTCCGAGTGAATCGACCGGACAGTCAGCGTTTGGTTATCACCGCTCCCGGTGGCTTATCCAATGTGTACAACGGACATCGAATTCAGTAAGTTCTTTTTTGTTTGCATGGCGGTAGGTGGGTAGCCGAATGTTGATGTCTCTATTCGTGACTGGTTTTAAGATAGATAGTGTAACGAATCGTGGACAATACTTGAAAAAGCATGCCAAATGGCGAAATAATCTGCTTGGATTGTAAGCACTCATATATCTTTGGATGATGTACATTTGAGGCCGTTGAACAAACGCACTGTAAATAAATATCCTAATGAGAATATCTGTTAGCTTCAAGTGATCCACTCTCATTTCTTGGCAGTGTTCATAGCATACGGACTTAGAGCTACGGGTGCATCCAGTTGTTTCGAACTTATTGATCCTCATCAGTACATCAAAGGTGGCTAGAACAAGATCCTCCCAAGCGACACAACAACGCAGAGGTGCTATTCTCCCAGATATTCCTAACACTCCCTGTGTAAAGAGCAGACCTCAGTTCTCGGTCTCGAATTCACAGGAACAAAGTAATTCGTAAAATAGTCCCATGGACAATGTATTCGCGAAGAAATTTCTTTTCAATATTTCGCATCAGGCGTTTACACATTTAAGGTGATCATAATACAGATGTCTGATTGGCCGATTAGAGCTCAGTTAGTAACGATGACAGAGTCGAGCAAACAGATCAAAAGAATATGACGAGGCTAATGATAGTCGTAAGTGGGGTGAGACATTAGAGTCCCTTCCTGATTACATCACCTGCTATGCATGACCTATAGTTTCTACCGTTTATTACGTAACTTCATCCCTCTCTCGTCTTAGCTCACAATCTTCATTTAATCTGCTCATCTCTTGAACGTTTGTCTATTTGGCCTTTGTGTTCTTACCCCCACCCACGACTATCAGTAGCCTTGTCATATTCTTTTGATCTGTTTGCTCGCCTCTGTCATCGTTACTAACTGAGCTCTAATCGGCCACTCAGACATCTGTATTATGATCATCTTATATATGTAAACGCCTGATGCGATATATCGAAAACAAAATAATTATCATCAAACTTTCGTGTCGACTAACAACCAGTAATGGAAATCAAAGACCTGTGTAGTTTCTAGCCTCAACCACCGGAACGGTTCCCAAATCACCATTTTCACAGACACCTGGCTCGGGTGCACAGGCACACACACACGAGCACACGATTCCTTCTTCTCCACTCCAGGCATGCGCGTGTCGATCCGCGCTTTAGCAGCAGTACTCAGGAGACAATCACTTCCGTGTTTTCTCGGAAATACTGTATGCACTGTAAATAGTAGTCTTGTTGAATTCCCACGTAGTCATCAGAGTCTTCTCAGATCATGATGAGACGTTCGAGAGCCACGGACCAAAAGAGAACGACCGCGAAAACAGAAAGTTTCGAGCCACCAATTTTTCCTCGGTTTTGGCAGTAAGAATACAAATTCAAACGGAAGCCAGTAATTACCGGGGTCAGCTTTGAGCCTATGTCGAGCATGCTCTTCATCTACCTCCATCCCTGTCTAGACACAAAGTGAATAGTTAAAGACGTTCAAATCAGAGATTGGATTGGTTTGACTTAGGATTAATGGTGGGGGTGAAACAGTTGGGCGCTATAGAAAAACGTAAACGTACACCGGTAAGTACACGGTGATCGTTGATGAAGGGCGGGGAAAAACACTGTGGAATTCGTTTAGAACTGAAATTATAATTAGGCCAATTTTATTGATTGATACAAACGATCATTCGTGGGTGGAGAGAAACAGGTTGATTTTCGGTTGAATACCACCACCAGTCGTGATTGTTCGGTAGTTGCCCGATAAACGATCGTCTGTCGCGATTTAGTAGACCGACTGATACTGTTTATTCTAGTGAGGTGATTCGTTTTACTGTAATATTTTTTCATACTGGCCATTGATTAGTCTTCTTAGTCTACACATACGGTTTATATAGATATTTTACAGTACGAGTCAGTCAGACCAAATGAAACAAGTACAACAACCACACAACCACAGAACGTTGTAATCAAAGATGAGAAATTTTCTGAAATCGGGAATATTTTGACAGCTGACGACGATGACGACGATGGTGCTCTCTTTAAATTGCAATCCGGATCAGCCGCATACGAACTAGAGTTGTAATGGCTAACTAAGTTTCGGGAAAAGCTCGTCTTTGCAGTTTGTCGAGGCTCAACGAACAAACGGGCGTCTCCAATCGGTCTACGATATGCTCCTGGAAAGACCTTTAGACTAGCTCCTTTCGAGGACGACGATGTTTAAGTGTTATGGTTTGCAATTTGTATTATTTATTATTTACTTAATACACAACCAGTTACAAAATATGAAATGCTCATCGACTGTGAGGTCATATGGCATCTAGTTTAGTAGGGAATGTGGTAAACCACATGAAGCTTTTAACGAGAACGATAGAGATGGAAGGTCCAACGGACAGAGCTAAAAGATCCTAATCCGTTGCCGGGGGGGGACGCAGTTCAACGGATCATACACCGCCTGGACAGAGTAAAATGTCCGAAACGTCCATTACAGTTTCATACCCAACCAAACTTGTGACCACTACCAGAACAAAAGGGTGTAGGAGTGGCTCGTGACTCCCTTATTGGCTGATTTGGAATCATCCCGGCGCGCCAACTCTCACAGGTGACCTCGAAGAAGTTCAACCACCGGTTATAGTTCAAAATATTTTCGTTTCCTTATCTTGATGAAAAATGCTTCCAGTTTGTGAGCATATTTATATTTTGGACCTGCGATCACACTGATCAGCAGGCCGCGTGTTTGATTCCACCACAAACACGGAAACCCTAGCAAAGTGAGCCTATTGTTCCAATCGGACATTAGTTGGTAATCGACTATTAATTACATTTTCATGCCACTCCAATCATAGCAATTGGATAGGACCAAGTAATCGAGGTCAACTCGATGTAGCAATGATGTGCTGTGGGGGATTCGAGAATTCGAGAACCGTCTATTCTAAGCTCTTCTGATTGAACGTAAACGCTTTACCCTACCGGTCCATATGGTCATTTCCCTCAGGTGTGACATGGGATACTTTCAACCAAAGATGATGAATCATTAAAATTAATGGTATACAAGTGATCCGCGGTTAGACAAAAATCCCTGTCCATACTAATTGGGCACTACCAGTTAATGAGTATAGGTTACCGGTTGGTGGAAATGAACCGTAGGTCCTCTTAACTGTGTCACTTAGTTTGTGATTAAAAGATATTGACTCACAGAGAGAGTCCATCTATTTGAGACAGACTTACCAGGTCTTTTGTTCAGTCATGCGATCTCGCTTGCATCATCTCCGATGACCAGGTACCTGGCGGTGGTGGCCAAGTGGTTAGGTCACTCAACCGTAACCTGGGAGTCCCGGGTTCAAACCGCTCAACCGCCGCCCCTCATCTTTATTTCTGTACTTTCCCAGACAGCCTTTGTATAGTCGCAGCCCCCTTCCCGAAAGTTGGCTGTACACTTGGATATTCAATAAATAAAAAAGGAAGTAAAAAGACATGTTTTTGAAAGACCTGTTTTACGGTCGTGAAGTTTTTCCAGTCACGTGACAATGCCGCAACACGGCACGTCTCATTTCCGTCTTTCTCTGACACTTGCGACACTCATCCTATTAACCTCGTTGCCGAATAGTTATATCCCGATAGAAAACGGTATGAAACTCCTTCCGGTCACCTGAGCCAAACATGTGATACGCCGGCAGATTGTCCTTTGAATTTTGATACCATGCCGATATATCAGTCACACCATTCACACACATGCATGGTTCGCAAAGTGTGAGTGATGGTAGAACGAAACACGTGCGTGGTGATTTCATCGTTCCGCAATGGCCGTCAAAAAGCACTTCAAGTTAGGTTTTCGGGTATCTACCTTCCAAAATCATAGTAAAAAGCATGCATAATGATGCACCATAAAAGTATAAAAAGATATGTGATTGAAAGTGAGATACTTGACTCGTGTGTGCAGCGGATCCCATTCGAGGGATTCACATGCAAACGAGGAAAATGACTTGTGTCAATACGCAACGACGGAGACGACGACGACGAAGATGATGATGATGGAGATGATGTTGTTGTTGTTGATGATGATGATAATGACAGCGACTGCCTTGACCGGGGTGATGCTGACAGGAGGGGCAGTGGATTCTCTTAGCCAATATATCCTCGTCTGTCAATTGTTGCTTCAGTTTAAGTCAAACGACCCCATGGCGATACAATTTTGCTTGAAGGGTATTTTGTTCCATTTGTGCAGTAATTCCCACACCCGAATGTCAGACTGGGTCAAGTGAGGATTCTGCAAGAAAATAAATTTCACTAGTGACCAATCCAGAAACATAAAAATAGGAATTGATCAGAAATTTTCTGTTACCACTGTTTATCTGCCAAGGACGTTTTTCACAGGACAGTTTCAATTTGGAGGCATTTGTAAAACTGTGCCACGTAATGCAAAATATTTGCCACCTCTATTCTGGATCTGTTTATCAATGCTTTATCTCTGGAACCAAATGGTGTTTGTTTTTTTGACACAGACTAATCATTCCATGTTATCGCATCCCATACCGGATTACCCTTGATTAATCCACCTAAGAACTTTCTAGATATCTTACATGACCTTTTACTGGACTGAATTGTAACCATAAGAAAGATTTTCGCATCGTGTTTGCTAATGAATGGATCGAATCGTTCAACACGTAGACGGCGCCTTTCACATGGAATCCCGTTAGGTGTTACTTCTTCATGCTATTTTTTAGAGTGCAAATACTTCGAAAAAAAGGGAATGGTAATTCAAAGACGTTAAAGATGTTTTTCCGTGTGTCATCATCATCATCATCATGTTAAACGTGATTTTCCTATTCATTTGTTTTCATTTCGCCCACTCAGATGTGTGCTTCCCGGGGTTGGAGACAAAGAGACAACCTTGTACATTATTGATCGCTGTGTCTCGTCCGAATCCCAGTGTCGTAATCGTGAGTGCGTACCAACGTCAAAACTGTGCGACGGTCGACCAGATTGTAGTGATCGGTCCGATGAAGGTGAAGATTTTTGCAGTAAGTCGATTGTATTCGGTCGGATACCCCTATGCACCTGTGGGTATTTCATGAGTGTGTTGAATTCTCTGGCCCCTCACCTGATAACGAATTATACACTCTAATCTTATGGGGAAATCCAAGTTTGTTTTTCTTCAACGTCTGTTGCCTCGGTGAGCATTTTGGATCGTTTCTAACCTCTGAGATATGAGGATACCCATCTCAGTCTAGAAAAGCGCGGTAAAAAAGAGTATTTGGTGTGTTTGTCTATTACTTTTATTTTAGTCCACAGGACTCTGTGGCTTCCTGTGTTGTATGAACACCTTATTAGACGGCATAATCTTGACGGAGTAGGAAAAGCTGTACCGTATTTAACCCTCCCTTTCCAACCCATCCGTTCGCTTGGTATCTCGTGACAGCTAACCCCGCATTATGTGCTCCTAGTGACACAAGTGGCCAACTCGCAAATCTGTAAACAGTAGATTATTAGGTTTGGTAATGACAGAACGATCACCCTCGTTGACAAGTACTTTGCATGATTCAGACCTGAATGACATTGCAGTTTGCGGGGTGGGGTGGAGGGGGGACAAACAATCGAGTTATGCTCAAAGCAGCTGCAACTGCCACGGTGTCTCGAAAAGGCAATCCATGCACGTATAATCCACATTCGCACTCCTGACCATATTGATCTACGTCTTTTTAGTTCTACTTAGCCTCCGATTCGCATCATCTCGATCCCCTAGTATTCATGAACTTACATTTCTTAACTATAAAAGGATCCGTATCCCACTCACAGTTACTTATGAGTAGTGGTATACGATAATTGATATTGATTTAAGCTGACCATCCTTCAGACCTCACGTTCACGCACAATCCTCTGCTCTTCCAGTCAACCATCCACTCCTAAGCTCTAGACCCAAGTTTCATTGTTATTAGAGCTCATCACTGGGGCATATTCATCATCATTGAGAATTAACTATGAGTGAGATGCGAATTATTACCTCAGCCTAGTAGGTTTGTGGCAAGTCAGTCTGTACCCTGCATGGAAGACCTGATTTGGTGGGAGGCAATTCACTTCAGCTCTGATGCAGCTGGCTGGCACAATGGTAACACACGCCTTCCATGCGATGGGTCCGGAGTGGAAAGATCGGACGGAACGTTGCATGTGCACTACTGATGAGCTCTGATAAGAGGGAAACAGGAGTCTAGTGCCTGTTAGTGGATGGTTGACTCGAAGAACTGAGGATTGTGAGGGAAGTTAAGCTCTGAAGGATGGTCAATATAAATCAGTGTAAATGCATCAATTTCATTTTCCGTGCAAGGTGCTTTTAATCTTGCCCTTTGTTCCCCGTCTTTTAAGGCGCCAAAATACTTCTCACTTTTATACATGGTAGCCATGTCTGATGCGAGGCTCTCATCTCTTTGTTGGCTCTTTTGGACGGCGTTCAGCATAAAATGATTTGTACCGTTACAGAGTAGTTGCGAACAAACACCATGTAACTGCTTCCTTCCTTCCTTTCCATGAGCGATTTTGTTGCGAAACATGCAGTTTGGGTTCACCATGTTCAGTCGCGAGTGAAAATAAAACCTGCCTCACGCTGTCGTCCCCTTTCGTTTGGTCTGCAGATGCGTGAATTTACACAATACCTTTGTTTACAACGTGTTTCCTCCATCCACCCCCACATGCACCTCATTTATAATCACTCTGTATCTTAGCACAAAACCCACAGTGGTATTTTATATTAATGTCTTCCCTTCTCTATTGTACGTTAGTCTTAGTAAAACATGAATTACAACAACTGATTAAAACATGCGGTGTCCGAGAAATTCGTTCAGTGCATACTGAACTGTCAGATGTTGGATGCATTTTGTTCTCTGTGCACGGGAGATAGTGAGAGGGAGAACGTGAATACCAACGATGGTTCAGGCGAGATAGTAAACCGCCCCGTACATACAAACAATCACGGAATCTCAAGACATTTTTCACCAGGATTTGACAGTAATACCGCCGGGCACACCTCGTTCGCAAACTCCGCAACTAAATTTCCTTCATGTTTCAGCTCCAGTTCATTGGAACAAAAGATGCATGCACTGGTGGTCCTCGACAAACAAAAGTAGCCACTCCATAATCGGTCAAACTCCCTCCTCGCACCCACGCACGCGCCCACCAAAATCACGATATCAGATGCACTATCACGGTGAATCACACTTTTACAACCAGGTTCGTTAAATAAACTATCACCATTTTTATCCACAATCCAGTTGATTTCCGCAACGTCTCGGTCCTCGTAGACCTGTCATCTTCCTCCTTGACTCGTGCGTTGTCGATGGCGATCACCAACCGACCGGTTTAAGTCTGCTATTCGGATGTCGGACAGTTGCACGTTGGGATACGGAAGGGAAACTGATAACAGACTTACCATTAATTGAAGTGTTGGCTTTTAGCTTGGTGACTCATTAAAAGCGAAATACCTCCATGGAAGCGAATTAGGCACATTATTCCAGTTTGCAAGGCGAGGCGAAATGAAAAAATCGGAAAATCAGAAGTGTTTATCGTATAAAGGAGTTTTACGCCCACGGAGTACCCAGGTTTGCACGATAGACGTTAGCTTCAGGTTCGATGATTTCAGTGCACAATTCTGAGCTACTGGAGACATGAGCATGAGCAAAAGATAGAGGAGTTCTGTGCACAATGTTAATCGATCCGCTAATTTTCATCCACTTTTTTGGATGTGGATTAAAATACCGGTGAGGAGTTAAGAGATTGTCGTCTGAGAAGTCAAATCAAGAATGACAGAACCTTCGCCATCCAGCTTGTGAATGCCGATAAGTTCACACGACTGCGTCTCAAAACAGCTCGTTTGGAACGCTACAATTCTTGAACATGAGAAGCCTAAGGTCGTCTCAAATACTGTTTAGAGTGCAGCAGATCCCATCATGTAACATGAGGAATGAGATAGAGTGACTTTCAGCGATGAACAAGAGGAAGAAGAAGAAATTTAGTTTGGATTGTCCGGGATGACTACCGCCACGACGACAGGAAAGAATCCGATGTTTTTCAATGCAAATCTCTCTTGCAGCTCAGCGAGTAAATTTGAGACGAACAAGTCTCGAAGAATCGTTGTGATGATTCTGTATTGGGTGCTGTGGGTTAGATGCACCTAACATCAGCGGTAAGGACAGCGAAACTGGTCGTGTGCTTCTGAAAAAGTTTGTCCAGTCATTCATATACTACTCATTTTAAAAATATAGGAAGCTCATGTGTTCAACAATCGCAATTATTGTGACCGATGTATAATGATATGGGCCTGTAATTTTTACTGATTAAATACATCATCTGATAGTTGGAGAAGGTGTTTAGAGAGTGCAATTATACGATTAACTGTCTTATCAATTATCTTGTTCCTGCAATGACATTGACATAATAAAATTCTCAAAACGGTCAAGCCACGCTTGATTCAGGAAATCGTAGTTACTTGAACGGTTGACCAGTCAAACAGTTCCCTGGTGAACAGTTGGGATCTACTGCATACAGTTGTTTGTGAAAGTGCGACATAGAGATCAGGCAAGTTTTGCAAACCACTACTATTTGGAAGACGTTAGTCGCAGGTGAGTAGGACAGTTTGGAAATGGATGTTTTCAACCTACTGACGACAGAAAAATAAAGAACCTGGTATTATTCAAATTGCTTTTTGGAAGGTTTGAAGTTTATTTGTCGATTGTGAAAAGTTTAGTAGCCTCGGTGGGATTCAAACCCACGCATGGACGCCGCCTATGCTTTGTACGCGCACGTTGTATTTGTTAGTCAATGTTCCGTCGCCCCGTACCATCCGCTATACTCACGAGCTTTCTTTTCACACCTCCGTAACGCTTGTAATGCAAACGACAGAAATACAACGTAATTTACGCCAAAATTACTCATCTTTTTATAACAATTCCTGGAGCTATTTGGACGTGTTTAAAGAAAATTACATTTTTTCATATGGAACTTCCAAACCACACACGATACTATTATCCTCATGGAAAGGCTTCTGGACCCTTGAAGTGGACACTTGTCCTGCTTTATCACATACGTGATCTGTTACAGTATAATCAGGAACCGTTAAAAGCAATCCACTGCCCTCCCCCGCGAACAGGCAGTGAGTGAGGGCAACTAGAGTTAAACAGGCGGGAATTACGTTCCAGTTACCCGCTCGATTTCACCCCCACTGATCGTCTGCTTGAAATCATTTTCAGGCAGGATTAGGGAATGTTGATTCGGTTAACGCTAACAAGTTTAATATGCATATCGCTCAATAATTCTAACATATTCTGTCAATCTATGATAGTGTATGAGAAGGGGAAAAGATCAGATCGGGCAGTGGTGTCCCGCTGGTGTTACGTCAACAAATTATCATCCAGGAACACGTATGTCCCGATCTCACTACCACCGCCTGACTTCAACCATTTGTGAGTTGTATGGCAGCCCTTTGATTGGTCGCTTCGCTCTTATTGAAAATTATACCATTGCATGTTCAATAAAAGGAAGGAAAAATGAAGATAAAAATGAATCGAAGTAGGCTATTTAATAACTTTCCTGATTCATGTTTAGGCATCATACATTTCCCATGCAATGTGATAGCACTGGCTGATAACCAAAAACACGTAATTATTAGCTCACACTTTGAGGAGCAATGTAACAATTCATGACACGGTACACATCATCTTCCCACACCACTCAGACATTTTCCACCAATGAAATACTAATCATTAATGACCATAAATCTCTGTTTTACACTGGCTGTGACTGAACGAATGAAAAACATATTTCACCTAGAACATGTGTTTGCATACTTGAGTCGGGTGTTACGAAGCTGTGTAACTGGAATTGCCGACTTTTCGAATTCATCTCTTGTTATGCACCGAACGCTTCTCTGCGTCATCCCACCTAAGACCGAGGCAAAAATCTAGAAACATCAATTTGTTGTTAGTTTCCACTGTTACGAGGAATGTCCTATTTTCAGGGGCTCCATGAAACTCTTCAGAATACTAATCAGGCATCATATACATGTCACACAAACCCCGATGAATGGCTCACAACTGTTCCAACAGGATTTCTTGAATTGGATGTTTTATCTGGGCGACGCCAGTAGACTGCATAAATCATTAGAAGAGCAGCCCCGCTATACGAATTCATGCTTTTGGAAACAAACTATCAGTTGGATGCACACACACACACACTTTAGGGAAGTTACGCTAACCTTGCTGTCCGTGCATTCTCGTGGGTCAAACCAAGAAGGCATTTCACTAATTTATGTAGCCTTGTGTGCCAGACGTTAATTGTCGATCGTGTAGCTCAGACTCACAAACCAAATTTTACAGTCAATTACAAGAGAGCCCTCTTGCCCAAGAACAAAACGGTTACACCACGTTGGTCTTTTTGCAGATAAAACGTCGTAAAGACATTCTTGGTTGAAATGAGCCAGCTAGGAACAAGCCAAACCAAAACAGGAAAAGTATTACAAAGATCCTGACTGATGCACAAGGAAATGCAAAACTGCAAAAATGTATAATTGTTGTGAGTTGAAAATAACTGCCAAAATTGCTAGCAGTCAACGTTTCTCCTTTTGTTGATTTTTCAAGTGAAGGTATCGTTAGAACACCGATATTCTTCACTTTGTACTCACTTTTGATTAATTTCATGTATTTTGTTCGCGTATTTACGAAAATGAAGGAGGGAGATGATCATTGTCGGCAGAAAGTGTGTGTGTGTGTGTGTGTGTGTGTGTGTGTGTGTGAATCCAACTACTTTTCATTCAAGGAGGTCGCAAAGCATAAAGTATTGAGTTAAGTGTGATTATCAGTAATGTTTAGTACACGCTTCCAACATTCGTTTCTCCCCCAATCTCTTTCTTGCCTGTTCCCACTTTGTTCGCATTGTTATTTCTTCAAACCCCATACGGAAATCTGCCCTGCAGATGCGGGAGTGACTGTGAGTCCGACTCGAATAGTGGTTCGTCCGGGAGAAGCCTTCCGATTGCAATGCCAATCTCTAATCCGGGGACAGATGCCCTACGCACGGTTCGTCTACTCGGGAGCAAATGTTGAGCAGGACCCTCGATTTCGCACGGAGAGGCCGACACGGGAATTACTGGTTATTCACGCTCCTCGAGGTTTAGATCTGTCGGACAATAATACACGGATCGAGTAAGTATCTAACAGGATCCATGGTGCAGTAATATTAGCCCTTCCAGGATGGTCATCTGAAATGGGTTTTGGGGATTTGATCGCTTTATAATTATTGCGCAATCGCACAGAAATCTGACTAGATAAGCAAAAACTTTTAATCAAAACTTTGAGTATTTAGTGTCCGAATATAAGAGACCAACGACACTTAAACGGGACTGGATGAAACAGTTTGGGTTAATCTCTGGTGACAGCTCGGGCTTACTTCGTTTCGGACTGAGGTGGTATCCGCCAGATGATTAGACTCTGCCACATCCGTCGCAAATAAGTTCGATGGTCACACATTTGGTGGAAAAACGAATTTAACCGTCACCATCACTCCCCTGGTCTAGCAACGAATTATCCGGAGTGTATGAAATTATGTTACCTTGAAAGTCTTCAATTTCCCACTCACCACAAACTTCATTTAAGTGAGCAGCATGGTGTTGTCACACGTTTCATAGAGATCACAAAGTACAATTTGCAAATTTCAAGAAGTATTCTATTTCCTTAACTGTGCAGCCTAAATTGCTTTAGCCGGTCACCAGCTTCTGTTGTGCCCCCTGATCGGTCAAATAGCACAGCTGGTAGAGAGCGTGCGTGTACAAAGCCTAGGCGGCGTCCATACGTGGGTTCGAACCCTAACGAGGCTACCGAACCTTTTACAGTCGCCAAACAAACTTCATATCTGCCAAACATCCCTTTGCACAAATAGCACATAAAACATAATATGTCATCCTCGCGGTCTTTTCAACTGCATTACGCAAACAGATCATCGTAGCGGATTGTGACAAAGTGAACTGAGCTGTTGAATGGTGGCTGAAACGCCTCTCCGCATATCGCTTATTTGATTCCGAGATAACAATGACTTTTAGTGAACAATTAGTCAAGTCAAATCAAGTCAAGAAGTTGTTTTATTACACCATCTGGTGCAAATTCAGCTGCAAACCACCCCACAAAATTGAAGATATGGATAAAAGCATTAATTTTTCAAAGTTAACTCAAAGCTGTGAACTAGTCATACAATCATGGCACAAAAATCGATCAAGACAAGGAACAATGGAGGAGTAATACGCTTTTGTGCGAGCCTGAACGCATTTGTACTTGGACCGAGTAGGAGAGATTGAATTACATTTAGATAATGCAGGGTTAGGAGGGTGATTTACTACTACGGAGAGAAAATAAAACATCAACGCATTTAGATGGGTTCATGGAAAGATTATGGGCAAAAGACCACTCGTTAAGTTCTGATATATCGGGTCGGAAAGTGGGGAGAACAGAGTTTTTGAGATAGGGTAAGCCAAAAGTAACGTCACTAGCATATTTTATCGGTAAGGAGTCTTTACAAACAAGCATGCAAGTTACTATGTTAGTGTAATGCCGTAGGAGATTGTATCCAATATATTTAGGTAATAACTGGCACACAGATGATAGTGATGAATCGAGGGATATTGGCTTCACGACCGATGTCCCGAATAAATTTTTTCGAAGGATATTTTGAAACTTAGAACGGCTAACAGTATTGGAGCTACTACTCTCTTGATTCCAGAATATTTGGTGTTTAGATATTACCTTCGACAAGATTTCTCATTTGATTCCATCCCCTGATTTCACAGTTGTACCTCCTTAAGGGATAACACTAATCGATCAGTTGTTTTCCGGGTTACCATATCCAGTTTCCCGGATTTCACGCGTTTAAGGTGTTATGCCTGACAGACAGTTAAAAGAGACGGCACACGTAATGAAATTGTAATTTTTAGCTTTTTATAGATAATGATTTGAACTGACTATCCTTCGGACTTTAGCTTACCGCTCAATTCTCAGTTCATCCGGTCAACCATACAGTCGAAAGTACTAGACTCGAGTTTTGCTCATGTTAGAGCTCATCAGTAGTGAATACCCACTGTACCGTCCGGGATTTGAACTCCAGACCCATTGCATGGAGGGTGTGTTACCACTGTGCCAACCACGGCTGAACCGAATTGTCAACTCATGCTTGGTCATATATCGTCTTTAGAGATGTTGGAATGTAAATATTAATTGGTTGTTTTTTTTGATGAAACATGAAACATGAAACCGATATTCTATGAATAATAACGGCGGTAGCTTACACACACACGCACACACACAGAAGATCTCAATGGCTTCTTTAGCCGGAACCATAGTGTCAAATTGCTTGTATTTACCGTGTGACCGAATGAATTGTAGTCAGACTGGTGTTCGTATGCGTTCTATAAATCACCTGCGGAGACTTGTTAGCTTTCTTTTTGCTGCGATAACCTTATTCGTGTGGGCACAATGTGATAAACAGATTCAATGTCTCATCGCACCTCACCCCACCCCCGACTCCCGGGTCTTACACACATATATACTGTTGTGTAACTGCATTTACGCGTACAGATTGTTTGCTAATTCGATCAGAGATCGCACAAGTCGAGACTGGTTACCGAGTTGGTAGAATTACCGGGACTGTCAAAGCACTAAGTCTAGTGGTTCGTCACCCACACATTCACAGCATGCGTCTGAAAGCATTTGCGAAAAACGTGAACAGCTGTACTGTGAGTTTAGCTTGAACATTGAATAAGCACCGTCAACTCTCTGTGTATATGTATCTGAACCATGGATTACGACTATCCCCCTTTTTTCATAAGCCGCACGGGATCGCACACACACGCACACGCATGCACACTCAGATACATGCTTGTGTATGCATACACACGTTTCCAAGCCGATGGGAACATAATAAGCTATCTCAGCTTAGCGGGATACAAACTGCTCGTTTTGAAGTCCTATCACTTTCAGCTGCAAGTATGTGAACATGCGGTGTGTGTGACTTGAAGCAACCCGGGGTGTTGGTTTTTCTGCCATCCACCGGTGCACTTGGTGCGAATCGCTTCACACGAGTTGGATTAGTGAAGAGTAAATGATACAGAAATTCTGAAAAGTGAGGCTAATGAGAAGTGCAAATGTAATCTCACGGATCTCCCTATGTCCCCAATCCATCTGTGAATTCGGCTAGCCTCATTCGACTGACTTTATCGGCATGGTTTTAGGTGCCCGGCAAAAAATCGAGCAGTTTTATTGAAGCACAAGACCGGTGTTTCCTTCGTTATCGACACGGTTACGGCAGATGTAATAGTGATATCATTATTAATTTGCACTGATCATCCATTCAAACCGACTTTCTTTTCCAAACACAATACTCAGCTCATTCTATCAAACACACTAAGGAAGCATGAAACTTGAGTCCAATTCACATTGCAGCTCATCACCACAGGGTAAATTCAACTGATGGAATCTATAAACCATACCGCTAGCACGGAATCCATTTTCACACTGCAGTTAACTAGAATGACCAATTTAATTTTGTACAGAATTCATTCTCAATAGAAATCAGTTTGTTATGCCCAGGAAGAACGGAAAAGGACATAGTTGATTACTTCTTCTTCTTGATTACAACTTCGGCCAAAAAATTCCCACCAAATCAAGTTTTTCATATGGGTTTGGGCAAACTAGCATTCTAGGAGTATCAAGTAATGGTAATGATATTAGTAGTGCAGTAGTACAAGATTGCTCGAACCGGCATCAAACATTTGATTTTGTCAACTGTGTCCAAATTGAGACATGTGGAGTCGGGTAGAGCAACGCTTTGCGAACCGAAAGAACGAAAATTGAGCGATTTACGAACTCGTATCATGTATATATATATATATATATATGTATGTATGTAGCGGTGAAAAATATGACTAACATGACTAGTGCGAGAGAAATTTTAATGCTAGAGTGTTTAACTGAGGTGGGTGGTAATTTTCATACGACTAATCAAGAGACGGGCCAGGGACGGAAGTACACTGTTTCTTTCTGGGCATGTGCATACAGCGAGAAATTGGAGCGAGCTAGGGGATTCAGCGCGGCTTTGGCGATTTTGCAAAGCAGACAGTGCCCTTGGTCAAGTATCGGCAAGTTTTAAAACAAAAATCTCAAGCAACTATTCTTTCGGGGAAAAAGTGTGGAGAACAAGCTGAAATCATTTGCTCCTTAACATGTGACTAAATATGGGGCGCGGGGCGGCGGGGGGCTCCTGAACAGTAAACCAGTGTGTAAGGATGCAGGTGATCACGAAATTACGGATAAGATCATGTCTAACACCCCATTTCCTGAGCCTGTGAGCACAAAAGGACAGTCATCAAACTTTGGTAAAAACACTAAGAAAATGAGCAAATTGGAAAAAGGTGATAGCGATGTATTAAACAAAATCAGACCTGGGAATACTTGGGCTACTGACTAAAAGATCGGGGCGATTAATCACTATTGTAAGGCAATGAGGGTGGTGTATGACTATCCACTTATTCTTGCATTAGGTAGGTGTTTGTCCCCCATAGAAACATGAAACATGTACAAGCATTCTTATACCGGCACAACAGCTTAGCGTCACTCTACTATTTGTTGGTTAGTGAAACATGCGGCGCCAAAAGCCTCACCGTACACAGCCGCCCATAACTGGAGTACTCAGCTGGCCAGAACATTTTCCTTGCTTATGAACCCATCTGCTTCCGGCTGCTTGTTCACACGTTGCTTTTACTGTTTACCACTGCATCGACTGGCAAAATACTTTATTGTTCACAATACCTAAAGCGCTCCCCGTTAGGGTAGAAAAAAGCACCTAATTGATTGTACTTGAATTAACCAGTCACAGTCCTGGGCACATATGCTGAAAGCAATAATTGCAGAACAGTCATCCTGTTTGTCTCGCAGAAGCGAAGACCTGAGTGCAGCCGTTTTGGAGTGTGTAACTGCGAACGACATCAGCGGAGGCTAGTCGCGTGACAAAACGGAGTCAGAGCGGAATCTTCCACTCTCTCCGTTGTGTGTTAAAGATAAACCATTGTACACTACTAAGGTACCATTTCACAGTCCTCTCACATGAGATAAATGTGCGAACATGTAACAACCATAGATTGCGTGACTCGCAGCTAGCTTGACTGTATACCATAAATTCAGCCCCGACGTTTGTACAATGAGTAAGTACCAATGAACCCGTTTCACTAACGTGATTAATGTTATCAAGCAATCAATCATCGTTCTGCGTGTGTTCCACATGTAAAACGATCAGAAGACATGTTTGGAGTAAACACCCGTCACGGATACTGGCATACGGCTGAGCTGAGCGGAGCTAGTAGGTCGATTCGATGTTTTCAAGACCAGTTGCTCGACTTATCTACGGGGTAAGGTTACGTATTGC